CATAATACAATGTATTCTTTGATTAAATTTTTCTTTAAAATAATAAATATTGTCAATAAATATATGTTTTCAATTTATATTGATCCTTATACAAATAAATTTTCAATAAAATAATATTGCATTCCTTTTGTATTTATATTATTCCTTAAGTTCACACATGTTGAATGACATGAAAAGTATGATATAGAATAACACAATAAAAGCACAGAAAAAACTTAGCAAAAGAGTAATAAAAACACAGCAGTAGAGCAACGAAGCATAGTAAATGCACACTAAAGGCGCAACAAATGCAAAGAATATACATTAAAAGTGTAAAAAAACACAGTAGAAGGGCAACAAAAGCATAATAAATGCTAGTAAAAAAAATGTCTAAGATGAACAACAATAACTAAGAAATTTATAAATAATGTAACCTTGTTTTGAAAATTGAAGAAGACAATACAAATTTGATATCATTGATTACACATTAATTAAGTAGTGTATATGGAGTAAAAGCGTAATAAAAGTGCAGTGAAAGCATAGTAAAGATAGTGAATACGTAGTAAAAGCACAATAACAGTGTAATGAATACACAATAAAAGCACAGTAAAAGCATAACAAATATACAAGTTGTATTAACATTATAAAGAAATTGTTTCTTACACATTTAATATATCGTGAAAAAATATTAAGTAATATGATCTGAACTAAACAACTCATTTTATTACAATGAATTTAAAAAAAAATATTGAGTTTAATACAATTTTTTTTAATTAAAAATTAATCATTACAAATAAAAATTATTACAATTGCAACTCTGAAGTAATAATATCCATCATCATCCTCATATACTTAGGCCCTGGCTGACTGGTTGCTGCCCCCGTTATGAATTTCTCATTAAAATATTCGAGCATGTTTAAGAACTTGATCTATCTTAGAGGTGAAAAGATTTTTGTTGTATTTGCCTTCATATTAGTTTTCTCTATTGAAAAATTAATCTTAGCAAAATATACATCTCATAATATATAATATAAAGTAATTAGTAGGTAAGTTAAATCATACTCTTACTCTTCTTCTTCTTTTTCCAATAACCCTTAAGCGTTACATTAGAGATGCATTTAGGCCTACACTTTAGTTGATTTTTCAATTTTGCAATGCCACCCTGTGTATTTCTTACAAACTTATAATTTTTTCTCTTGCCACTAAGAATCAAGTCGATATTTTCAGTAATGTCATTCATTACAGCCAATATGTACTACTTAGCTTCCTCATTCCCCTACGCTCGTGTGTTAATTTAATATGCAAATTTGTTGAGATGACTTCTGAAAATGAATTCACTACTTGCTCTAAAATTATTCTTTCATGTACCTATGCCCATGTGACCTATATATATATATATATATATAAACTCTGGTTGACCATTGTAGCATTAGGTATTTCTCAGGGAAAGCAAAGTGAAAATACAACAACAAAAGTGCCGTAAAAGCGTTTAATTTTATTCACACAACAACTAAAAGTATAGTAAATACGCAATTTTTACTGTGTATCATGCGCTTTATTGTGTATCATTACGTAATTACTGTGCTTGTACTGAGCTTTGATGAGTTTTTTCTGCGCAGCTAAAGCCCACGCCAGTACTGTGTTTTATTTTAGCACGGGCATTCTATCCACAAACCGTAACCCATGTAAAAAAAATATAAAACTTGGGAAACCCTTATAACTAATTGGGACGAATTTAAAATTTATTGAAAAGTTGAAACATGCAACAACTCCAACCAAATTAACTTTGACTTTCTAGACATCTGCATACCTCCTTTCAACCTCTACATCTTGTGAGCATCTTTGTGAAGAATGCAACATTCACCTCAATCTTTATCAGTTGTTTTTCGTTTTTTCTTTCTCAGAAGGTATCAAAAGTTACAAAAAAATTCTAAATATTTGAATTTGGGAGCTTTCACAAGTTTTTTCTTAAAATGGGGTGCCAACCCTGAACCTCATTTCCAAAAAGTAAAAAAAAAAAAAAAAAAAAAAAAAAACTTAATTGGATCATGTTGGTCGAGCTGAGAAGACAAAAATAAAGAAAGAGATCCAATTTAATATCCACATGCATATTAAAATTTAATTAAAATCCAAACGAGAGCTAAATCAAGACTCTACAGCAAATAATTTCTCCCATTTTACATAATAACAACCCAAACGAGGCCGAAGTCATTTGGCCAACGGCGGGTCGCGTTTTCCACCGCTGTTCCGTGCTCTCTTCTTTTCTGGAAGGCGAAATACTCGCACGTCGTCATCGTGGCCTTACCCTCTTCCTGACCTCGAAGTGAAATGCTGCTTAACGGCGCTTCATCGCCTGCGTCCTTCTCAACAGCTCGGGCTCGAAACTGTAATTGCACGATACTGAGATCATCGAATTAAGAATCCATCCCGGTATCCTTTCAAAAGTGGGTGGAGATGGCTTTCATGGCGGTCCTCGAGTCAGATCTGCGTGCCCTTTCCGCTGAAGCCCGTCGACGCTATCCTGCCGTGAAGGATGCCGCTGAACACGCCATCTTGAAGGTATATCCATTTATCTCCTCCTGGGCCTGCAGCTGCTTCCGTCGCTTAGCTGATCTACGAGAACTCTGTTGCTTAGAATTATTTAACGCCGTTTGATTTGCGTAAAGGGGGAAACGGAAATTCCTTTCACCAAAATAGGGTTTTCATAACTTAGGCTTGATGGGTTGTACTTAGTTGATCACATTAATATTTGACTTCTTGCTGCATTTCACTGATTATGGAGATTATACGTTCAAACACCACTGATTGCAGTTGGTGCTGTTTTCTTTTTCTTTGTCGATATCATGATGCAAATTTATATGTCTTTCTGTTATTTGACAGCTTCGCTCTTTGTCGGGTCCTAGTGAGATTGCTCACAATGAAGACATAGTGCGGATATTTCTGATGGCATGTGATGCTAGGTCGGTTAAGCTAAGTGTCATCGGACTTTCTTGCCTGCAAAAGCTCATATCACATGATGCTGTCGCACCTTCTGCTCTGAAGGACATCCTTTCCACTCTGAAAGATGTGAGTTTGCGAGTACTGAGTATCCTTGTACATTTTTTTTGTTAGCAACTTGATTTTAATTTAATTTGCCTTTACTAGAAAACTATATCTTTCTAGTTCTCGTTGTATGGATGAGACTTTCATTGTGATTAAATAGTGTTATGCTTAGCATGTTGTGCACAAGGAGTCTATATGGAAGTATGTAGGAGAAATTAGGGTCTTTCTTCAACGAGAGATTATTCTATGCGGAGTTCGGACGTGAAGAACCGTTCGGACATGTGAGTGTACAGACAGTGTACATATTTGTACACTGTGTGTATACAATGTGTATAGTCACATATCCGAACAGTTCTTCTCGTTTGGACTCAACACAAAATAATTTCTCGTCTTCAACAACGCTGCATGGGAAAACTGTTTTTTTTTGCATGTAGTTGCGGCGTGCTTTTTAGCTTGCTTCTTTGTTATGGCATTTACTTCCGTAGAAATTATTATAGGAGTGTGAACTAGTACCTGGATGTTACAACATTACATATATCTTAGATCTCTTGTGCATGACGGATGGGATATAAACAGAGATGTTATTCGAGAGATGGAAATTCATTAGTTGTCATGTAGAGGGTCTCCATCACACTTTGTTTTAAGTGAAACCCGAATCAGTTAAACTATATTATTATTAGCTGTTGGCTACAATTAAGGTTTACTAAGTTACATAAGGAGTTGCTATG